ACTGATGACCATCCTCTGGGCCTTGCTGTTCAGACAGTTTTCAATAGAAGTCACTACTCATCCAACCCCAACACCAACAGCTGATCTACGAAAAGCTGTTGAGAATCATACAAGACTCTCTTAACCTTGTCTGAAATTACTTTTGTGTGTACCTTTGTGAAATGAGATCTCATCTCCTCATGCCTGGCCTTAATGAGATCTTTAATCACAAGATTGTTTAAAACTCACATTCACAATTCATCTATTCCCCATCCTCACTGATATGAAAGTTGAAGCACAGTGTGTAAATTAAGCTTAGAAGGTTAAACAGTTTCAAGCTTCTTTATGAGTTATTCTTAACTTCATTATTTATGACTCTCTTTTGAGTAACATTCTTCTGCTGAAGGTTATTGAACTGTAACTTCCTATCACAGTATCTTTAATTAGACTAGCTTTTCCCAATCCGTTAAAAAGCACGGTGAAGCGTACTTCCTAAGTACACTCTGATCTCCTCCTGTTTTACACTGTGGTGCTACAAATGATCGAGCTCAGTGGGACTCAGGCCTATAAATACTTTTGTGAGTCAGGACAAAATGCTTGATGTTAATCTCGGAGTTCATCACTTCTTTTTTCTGGATGGCGGAAGTCTGTCTAACAAAAGAAAGAAGCTTTCTTCTTTGGATAGAAATGGTTGACTTTTGTTTTCACCAAGAAAACAATGAAGAGTCTAGTATGATGACCATCTGGCTTTCAGCTGAATCTCTCAATGCCTTCTGGTTGCTCAGCTCTTACTGCATTGTCAAAGCTCTTGCTGTAATGTATCCCCAACTGATTTAAGACTCCTGTGATGTTTTAGCTGCTTCCCTTAAGTCACTTGGTGCCTGCCATTTGTTTAGAGAGTTGAGAAGCCCACTTGAAGGGGGCATCATATGCCTAAAATGCCTTAAGGATACTCTATGCCTCTGGCTATTTTCATGTCTTGGAGATAATTTTTGTGGTGGTCTTGAAAGAGCTCAGTGCCTGAGGGCTTTTGCTATGATTTTGTCTCAGCAGTATTTTGCCTGAAGAGGGGACTTTTCGCCATTAAATCTAGATCTTGCATAGAAATCTCTCATTCTGAAAATTTTGAAATGAAAAATAATTATTGCTTTGTTACCTTACACGGAAGAACCTGACTCTCTTCAAACATTTGTTTTTTGTATGTATTTGAAATGTCTCTTACCTGAAATTTCCAGAAGCAGCTATCAAGTGCATTACTGGATTGGTGGTTTTAATTTAATTTAATCAGTAAATAAAAGCTATATGAGGGGAAAAAAACCCCAAACATCTCAGCAAGATAAAGTATGTACTAGTTTGGCAAGTATAAACTAGTTTATGATCTGATTCTGTTAGCTTTATTGATAACTGTGTAACATCTGAAATATTTGATGCTACTTCCAAAAAAGGGTAAGGCTCTAGATGAATCAGGATGACCATCAGCAAGAAAAAGACAGCTACGGCATATGGGAACATGATCCTTCCCACTCTTGCTAAACCACTAGGGATTGCCACTGTAATCTAGAAATCTGGAACAGTAAATAAAGTTAACAAAATGTATGATTGATACTTCTGTATTTGAAAAAGAAATAGGCAGCCTCCTAAAATAACTTCTTCATACACTTGGTAATAACCTCTAAATTTTAAGGTCCCACACTTACATCTATGTGAGGTCATTTACACCTCTGCAGGACATCACTGAGTGTAACAGCTGGTTCATTCAGATAACATTAAAAGATCAGGATATGAAAAACTGTTCTCCAGCATGACTTTTTTCACAATTGTTTCCTCGTTCTCTCCCTGAAACAGTAACAGGACAGACAGGTGGCACATAAAGCTTTTGCTTTCTGGAAAACACCAGCTCAAGGAAAAGACCACTGCTTCTTAGGCAGAGTATCTATGACAGCTCTGACATGGAACCCTAACAACAGTAATGTCAGCCAGAGAACCTGGAAAATGTCCACACCGAGTACCGTGCGCCCTTGAAATAATATTTACTGTTTATTTGTTCCTTACCCAAGAGGGATGCACATATACTTTCTGCTTGTTAGGAGACTGCAAAACCAGACCAAAGAGCTATCCCTGGGCACGAATTTTAAACTAGGAGCTAGGATACAGCTCAAGACAATTAACATGACTTTGAATTCACATAAACTCTCCTCTCTCTGCACCTGTTATTTGATGGGCTGCTTTAGCTTGATAAGCCATGTACAGATGATACTCAAGGGGGTTGCAGCCTAGGTCTCTGATACTACAGGCAATTCCTTGTGGGGAGATGCCTTACTCCATGCCCAGTCTTACTGAGGCTGAAAAGATCTACACAGGTATTTACGTCCATTTGCGCAGTACCAAAATCACTCACCACGTATGACTCTGGGCATCACTAATTACAACTCTACCAATAGAGTGTTGACCTGCATTGATTCAGTGGCCACTGAGGAACACTGGGGATGAAGGCATGTAAGAAGTGATTCTTCACCTGTCCGCTGTGCTGAAGAACCACCTCTGTCTCAAAGTAACCATTTCCACTCTGTCCACAGACCTTCCCTGTGCAAAGGGCAGAACAAAGCCTATTTGCAGGAGCTCTGTGCCTTTAGAATTTAAGGGCACAGAAAAACATAATTTATTCTGAACTCCTCTGTATTGCAAGCATTTCACCTTTGTAACTTGAATTGAAATCAGTAATTTACTTTTGACTGGAGTGTGTTTAGCTGAAGGCTACCTTCCAGAAGGGCACTGAGCCTTGAACTGAAAACATCAAAAAATATAAAATCCACTAATTCTCTCCTTAGTCTGCCCCAGTAATTAATCACCATGATATCAAATATTGGCACATAGTTTTCCATACCAATTTATCAGGATTCAGCTTTTTACCATGCATCCTCTCCCTGCTTAATTTTTAAAGGTCTTTCAGATGATACAGTTCTCCTCCTCCCATAAAGAACACTTACTTGCTTAATCCAGTCACTTTCCTTTCGACAATCTACATAAACTGAAATGCTAAAGTTCCTTATTGTATGGCACTTTCTCCGGGTCTCTAATATTTATCATTTTTTTCACCCACTACAATTTTTCAAAGCAGTGTGAGAACTGACTGCAGTATTCTTGTGTCAGTCTCACCAATGCCGCATACAGCACTACTCCCCGGCTTAGATGTTCAAGGACCAAATTAACCCTTCCGATTTTATGCTGCAATAGGAATTCACATTCTGTTGCATGTACCCTAAACTCTAGTTAAGAGTCCTGTTTTGGGAATCACACACTCTGCTTTTGCAAGAGCAAGTCTGCATTCACCTTTATTGTACAATTTTGCATTTGACTATGAAAATGTGCTCCTTTTAATGGCCCCACCTCACCAAGAAATCCAAGCTTCTCTCATATGCTTGCTCTACCTTCATTATTACCCTGTTCGACCTTAACAATTATTAGCCTATTATTATGACTTCCTATTTATGTTCAGATCATCAGTACAAACATAAGGTGCCTAAACTCTGGTAATTCTGAAAGCAATTGTTTGGCTCTCACTTAAACCCAGGGACATCTAAACACTAAATATATCTCAGTTTTGAACAGCAAAATATCCCTTGTGCTTTAAAGTCCAGAATAATGGAGCACTGATGGTTAATTACAGTGAAAGGTGTGTGTTTTGGAACAAATATTTTTAAAAAATTATTAGGACAATATAGTTTTACCTAGTACGCAACACTACTATCCTCAAATTTTAAATCATAAATAGCCTTTAAAACAAAGATCTTATAATAAATCAGATATCAAACAACATACCAAATGTTTTGCTTTTCTTTTCCTGGCTGCTACTGAACAACTCTTATTCCAAATCAACCAACTCAGTTGATATCTAACCTAATACCTTGCAAGCAATGGGTGTGTTTAACTGCACCTTAGGTACTCAAGTCAAATGCAGGGGTCTGTCTGGAGCTGCTGGACCCATTTTCCATCAGCATGCTTTTTACTTTCAATGCTACAAAACAGTAAATGCCTCCTGTCATTCTTTTTTCTGCTAGTGGCAGTGAGTGATGAGCCATTCAGCACCCAGGTGACAGCACACAAGAGGATTCTGCTTTCAGGAGAGCTTAGCCTTCAGCTGCGAGGCAGAACTTGATGTGGTGAAGTAGCTGAAGTTCACAGTCACATTTAATGACCACGCGGCTGGGAAATAAGCCCAAACATTTAGTATCAAGCTTGGATTTGAGTAAAACTAAAGAGGCCATAAACTCTGAAAAGTTCTCACCCCCAAATTGCATTTCAGCACATATTTAATGAGAATGTGAATGTCGCCTATCTATCTCCAGACGAGCTCTCGTTGGCCTACATACAGCTAATCCTGGGGAACTGAACTGCTTGCACAAATAAGGGACTAAACCCTTAGGAAATTTGTTAAACTGAAGAATAAACAAAATATCCATAAGACTTTATTTTCAAGGGCATGAAGCATCCACAGCTTACACTCGAGAATACTAAGCACATCTGAAATTGGGACATTTGCTTTGTTTCTGCTGTTAAATTGCTGCCTCAGCTTCCCTATCCTTTACCTCACCTATAGCATCAAAATATTTTAGATGTGTTTTTTACAGTGGGGTACTGAAAGTTCATTCAAAATGGTATGTTAAAGGAACTTTTAAGGAAAACTGATTTGTTAGCTCTTAACCTAGCAAAGCATCAAGCAAAGCTGATTTTTATATCCACAGTACCTAGTTTGTCATCTGGTTAGAGATGTCAGAAAACAAATCTGTTGGGTAAAGCTGCCTGCTGCTGTGAACTGGCAAAGCTGTGCTGGCAAGGCAGAGTTTGGCCCAATCTTCCCTCAATATTGACAGAATGTTTTCTGTGTTCTACCCTGGCCAGCCCTCCACATCATAAACACTGAACGCAATACCTGCATGGCTGCTGGAGTGACTGTGCTCATCACCTTCCCTGAGGAGATAACCATGCAAAACACACTTTACTCCGAGAAAAGCTGAACTCACCCGATCTTCTTCTTCTCTGACATCTGGCATGGTGCTGATGCAGAGGCTGACTGCAGTGATGGCAACAAAAGAGATTGAAATACAAGCAAAGATCTTTCCTGGGATCCCTGAGTGGGGGTTCTCCACCATATCCCTGAGCTTTCGCATGCACAAACTCAATCGGCTACTGTCCTGGAAGGCACATTGCGTAGTTTCACTAAACACCATTTCCCCTTCATACAGCCTGGCCTCAGCTGCCTCCTCCTCTTTCTGTCGCAATCTCTTTTTACAGCACCACTCCAGGTGGTCCTCTTCTATCCCCCAGTACACAAGCTCCTCCTGGAAAGAAAGAGCACACATCTCCCTGAGAAGCCTCAGCTTCCCAGCTGTCAGGAAAGTCATGATTGTCCTGAAGGCACTAGGATTACGGTCAAAGAAAAATTCATTGCAGCTAACATCATAATCATCGCAGATGTTCATGATCTCATCATAATTGTTGCAAGATTTTAGCTTCCCAAGCCTGGTCAAGGGGCAGTTCTCCAAGGTGGTCCATGGAACTTTGTATTTAATACCACCTACGTTGATGATCACAAACCCGGTCTGGTCATCCAGGTGAGCTAAATAGCACAAGTCTTCTCCTGGGTGCAGAAGTTTGGCCTTTGTGTAGAAGAATCCTTTCTTGGTTTGGACTTCGCACAGGTTTTCCAAGTTATTGAAGGAGTAGGAGCTGAACTCAGACTCTGCATTCCGAGTGAGCAACGCCATTTCGTGATACTTCTGTTGAGTCCATAGGGAGGTCAAGGCTACTTTAATGAACACATCTGGAGCTTGAGCAGAGAGTCAATCTGTAAAAGAGAATTTTAAAGTTACAATAAACTTACAGCATTGCTAGATTAAAAACCAATCCTATCCTCTCAGTCCAAATAAACTTTTCTCCATGGCATTATTTTCCCCCCTGTTATTTTAGCACTATCTTGATAAACTTGATAGCTTCTTGGGGAAAGAACTTAAACTGCAATAGGGTCAGAAGCCATGTTGATACTTCTAGAAGGTTTAGCCAGTGAATGAATGGAAACAAAACCATGTTCAGAAATCTAGAGCTATATCCTGGACACTGGAAGGGAAAATGGGTCTTTTGGATAAATGTTAATGTACATTTTAGCAAGTTAACAAAGTTGCATTATTTATTATTATTATTATTTTGACCCATCTACATAACGTTTCTATTACAAAATGCCTACAGTGTGAGGATAAAAAGGATACCTACAGTACAGTCAGAAATGTGACTGCAGAAATGCTGGTAATTCCCAATTTAAGTTCACCAAGCTTAGGCACTGATAGCAATGAATATGTGGGAGCTGAGAATCCTGCCTGCAGCCAGCACCTAAGAAGGTTTGTGTGCTTGAGCACAAAGTGTGTGCTACCAAGATTCACTTGCCACTGGTACCTCAACTAACTGGATTAAAACTATATTGGGCACATCTACCTGAACAAGGAACCAATTGTGAAAAAAGTCATGCTGGAGAACAGTTTTACATATCCTGATCTTTTAATGTTATCTGAATGAACCAGCTGTTACACTCAGTGTTTGGGTCACCATCCCTGGAAGTACTTAGAAGACATGTAAAGGTGTGGCACTTGGGGATGTGGTTTTGTGGTTGACTTGGCAGTGTTTGTGGTTGGACTCAATGTTCTTAAGGATCTTTTCCAACCTAAATGATTCTTTGATCATGAATATGTAGGAAGCCATATTCATGTTCAGTGTAGGCAATCTCGGAAGCTAATTCCCCCAAATCAGGTGAAGAGATTTTTGTTTGTTTGTTTCTTTAATCTGTATTGGTTGCACCTTTTGTTCTCCTGCTGGGGTGACTGCGATCCAGGCTAGTGACATCTCCTGCAGGGAGGTATGCATCTCAGGTCTGAGTGGAGACCAGAGCTTGCCCAGGACCTTGGAGCTCCTGGAGGCTCTGCTGCAGTTTTGACTATGGGAGGTGGACATGGTGCCCAGCAGCCTGGCAGTAGCTCTGAAATGGGAGACTGAACCTAAGAATGAAGTGGAGCTAGAAGTGGCCCGCTCGTTGCTTTTACTTCTGGATAACACAGAACTCAACTGGTCACATTTAGCAGCAATTATACAAATGATGCACAATTTCAGTATTTAATTTGTGCCTTCTGCTTACTCCTCTTTTACCACACCACAAACCACAGATCTCCTGAACACATTTTTTCACCTGCCGCATTGCTTCCTCACTCTCCTAGAGCTCTCTGCCCAGGTTCTCCAAAGCAGAACTAGGATGTCTCAAAATGCTACCATGTAATTGCATTAGCGAATCACTTGAAACTTGAACTGCCCAAATGTGAAACAGGAAACAAAAAACTGGAATAGGTCTGTTGGACTCCACACAAAAGACCTGGACTGAGAATCAATGCAGTGATGGAGAACAATCTTAAGCAGGGGCTGCAGAAACCTTACAAGTTGACAGAAGTCAGGAGAAAAAGCTGAGTTGTGAAGGGTAGTCTGATGTTATTCACGACAGGATGGTAACCATGAGGCAGTAACTCCATAATTTATAAGCAACATTCTCCAATTCCCTATGAATCTCATGACTCAGCCTGGAGAGAACACTAGGAAAAACCGGAGAGCACACACATCCAAACATGCTCCCAGAGCATCTTCCTTTATCCATAATCGACTCATTAACTGTTAACTCATTAGACTTAGTAAAAACAATCCCCAACAGAAAGTGGCAAGTACCTGCTACTCCCAACCCTAAGTCACCCTCTAAATATTCTTACCAACCACACTCAAACAACCGAATCACAGCAATAGCAGTGGAACTCCTGCTTCAGCATTACTGTGAGGATCCAGCCACTGAATTTTAGAAAAGCATTTAAGTTGGATATTTGTAAAAAGTCAGAGAAAGGCTGGCTTACATATAAAAGGCCTGAAGTCACCTAAAGGTACTTTTTGGCACTGTGGAAATTTCAGAAGAACTAACGATGCCAAAATCTTTCCAATTTCACTTTGGGCAAAAAAATTGTTTAAACATCTGCTTGTACAGAGCAACACGAATAACAGAGAACCGCTCCTTCATCTGGCTAAGGGCCAGTAAAGGATAAGAGGCAGCAAGATGCGTTCTGAGAAATAGGTACTTTTACAGCACAGGCTTGAGTGCAGCCGGGACTGCAAATACCGTTACTGTCACAATGAGAGTGCACTGTCAGCATGGCATATGCTTTAAGGACTTAAGTCTCTTGTTGCTTTTTGTTGGCAAGATGAAATATTCACGGCCACTACTCAGGGCACTGTGCTTTGTTTTCATGCCTCACTTGTTACACAAGTCAACATACAAGAAGTAGTTTACATTGTTTTGACATCAAGGCCCGGATTTGCTTTTTCCTCTCCCTGGTGTAGCAGGCTGTCACATAAAGGGGCCAGACACATTTCACAGAACTACTTTGAATCTAATCTTACATGCACTTCTTCCTTCTTCTAAGAAGCAGCTAATTCAATGTGAAAATCTGTAACCAAGTTATTACAAACTCTCTGAATTACAGAGGATTAGTCTTTTATTTTGTGGATATAAAATTATGTTGATTAAACGTAAGGCTTAAGGAAGCAGCTATTCTTTTTTTTTTTTGTATCATCAGTGCATAAATAGAAAGTGATAACAGAAGTAGGTACAGATAGTATTGCCTGTGGTTTAACAGGTTGATTCTGGACAGTACTGGTAGCACCAGATGCTGGAGCTGAATTTTCTAACCTCACACTTCAAGATCCCCAGATCCATAATAGTATACATTATTAACTGGCAGCACTTGTTTTGGAAGTCTCAGCTTAAAAGCAAGCATGTGAAGACAGTGAGGTGGTTGCCCTGGACTGGGGCACAGATGCCAATGGAGCAGCATGGAAAAGCTTGCTGTGTCACTTTAACTGCCTTACAGAAAATCAGAATACATTGCTGTGGGCTCCCAATTTGGCATCTATCCCAAGAAGTAAAATAAGCCTGGAAGGTCTGATTTCTGATCTGATGTGCACGGAATGTATCATGACCTTCAATGAATATTAAAGGGTGTTTCAAAATTATGTGGGTCTTAAAATACTCTCTGCATGCCAAGGTTATCTAATGTATGCACATGCCTACCATAAAGCATCCCATTGAAGATTAACTTTAAAAGCCAATACTTCCAGAAATGATACTACGCTATCATCCAGTTGGCATTTCTAGCATTTAATCTGACACATGGGTGCAAGAAGAACTATTAAAACACAGTCTGTAATAAGCTGTCCGTGACAGGGATACAGAACAGAACTTGACTCTATATTCGTTGTTCATAATTTTAAAATGCTGTGTGAGAAATGCTGTATAAATGTTTCAGTTTAGTGATCATACACAGGGTGGGTCATACATGCTGTGGATTCTTTTCTCTTTTAAGTAAAGTCAAATAATTTTTATTCACTACTAAGTACTTTCTTTGGCCATCTATGTATGCATATGTGCGTGTCTACACACACATGCAAGTTCAGCCAAATTCTGTCAACAGCTGACAGTTGAGAGCTTTACAGGTATTTCTATCTAATATTTTAAAGATAAAATAAATGTCAGAAGCATGCATCTGCTTCACGTTCTCCTTTTTGTTGAAATATTTTCTCAATGGAGAGGGGGCTATTTCCCTATTTACCGACTTTTCACCTTGCCTGTTCCCATCGCTGTTCTTCACACAAATATTCTTCATCATCCTGTTTTATCAGTATTGTTGCACCCAAGCCATATATGGTTTTGCATGTGGCTCCACTGGTCTCAAGTTGCCTTGAACAAGAAAGAAAAATGTGGCGAAAGAGGCTGGTCAGCCCAGTGAGGAGGGCTTTAAAATGGGCAGAGTGCTTGTACTTTTTCTGGGAAATCATCATCATTAGGTTCCTCTGAAGTACCAGTACACTAATGCATGCAGCTGGTGGAGCAAACAGGAAGAATTCAGAGGTCTGCGTGCAGCTGCACTGAAGAAACTGGTACTATGAGAGTGGTCAAACACTGAAACGGGAAGTCAAGAGAGGTTGTGGAGTCTCCATCCTTGGAGATATTCAAAACCCATCTGGACACAGTCTTGAGTAACTTGCTCTGCTGATGCCACTTTGAGCAGAGGAGGTTACATTAGATGAACCTTGGAGGACCCTTCCTACCTCAATTACTCTGTGATTTTGTGTACAGCCTCTTTTTAACTGCTGCTGTAAGTTACAAAGTACTGACAGCTTACACTTGTACCACAGTAGCAGAGGAAGCCATGAGGCTTTTTAGTAATTAATGCTTTAAGATTTTCCTCGAGAAATTAAACAGACTTTGACAGAGAACAGGTTATTGTGTCATAATTTAAAACCACAGACATGAAACATAGATTAGGGTGACCACAAGATGTTTTGTCTCAAGTCCAAAGAGAGTTGAGTCACCGAATCCATTCTGCAGTGCTCAGCCATTTCCAGTCAAGAGACATGCTGGAAACTAACATCATTGCCTAGGACCAAAGCAATCCAACTTCTTACTGTAACATGATTTATAATTCACAACACACACAATTATTTTAATAGTAAAGTTTACACATGTAGTTGACAATACATTTGATGGTATTACAGCTAACGCTTTGGACAAAGTAGTTCACAGGAGATCCAGGTTACTCTTGTACTTACTGCATTTTGGTGGAACCTGGACTCCCAGTTCTAAGTCCCTGCCAGGCACTGTGGAAACATGAAGAGAAGAAAGCACCTGCCCATGAGGCTCACAAAATACAGAACAGAAACAGATGGGGTGCAATCAATACAGATTAAACAAACAAACA